AGAAATGAACAAATTGTCTTTCTATGATTATATTTTGTTAGAAATTCATTTGCTATATATAATGTGGAAAATTTGAAGTTACATTGATTCCTTATCAAACTTTAATTTGATATTGTTTAACGCGATACGATGGTAATTATCAATATATCTGTTATTGATAAGTGTGTATATGATAATCTCGTAAAGTGCCATGCGCCGATGTATCTCTTTAAATATTACATATGAAATTTTATAATTAAATTATGTTCATTTATATTATTTTTTGTTATTTCTAATTAGCATAATTACGTAAAATAATATTATACTTAATATGGCTGATAACAGAAATGCGTATGAATCACTGTAGGTTTGTTTATCAGACGGATTGTGCATGGCGATTTTATTGGTATAAATAGGTTAATGAAATGGCTATTTTATTACTGCGATAAATAAGCCATCATTGTCATTAGCTACGTCGCTCCACTTTAGATTAACGGGTGATAATGGCAAATGAAACCATATAATTGATTTATAAGTTTTCCATTAAAGTTACGTGCGAAATATTATCGCATCTTGATATATTTCATTATCCTCTTTATCAGCTTGGATATGTAATTTGAACAGATATATACAATTTGTTCAATACAATTCAATTAATGAAAATCATTCATTGTCTTTACACAGACATTTTTATTATCATTCCACCTTACCTTTTTATCTATACGTTTATCGTCTTGTTACATTAACCATATTGTCGTACACGATACGAATACATAAAACGATACATAAAAAATTCGGCATATAATTTTTAATAATCTTAATTATATACTTTCATCAAAACTTGTGTAACAAGATTTCATAGAAAATGTCTTGCTCGTTTCTAGCTATCATTTCAAATGCGAAAATTAATCGCGCGATTTCAATAATCAGTTCGGACGATAAGTTTTTCACGACGTCCGTCGTCGTGCTCGGAACAATTACGCGAGCTCCGTTCCGGAGGGTGCAATTATGCCGTTTAATGAATATCATGGCGTCTTTCGACTCGATGGCCCATCCTCCCTATCCGGCGTTTGACCTCCTCTCCGTTCCCTACCCATCACCTTACGTACTCCACCAGGGAAGTCCTATTCCGTAATTAGAATCTCCCAGCCCCCTAGGAGGCTTCGCGACCGACTTTGCCCCCTCACCGGCCATTACTTTTAATGGCGTTGTTAATGAAACTAGGTGTCGCCAAATTAACCTCCCATTCCAGCTGTGCTCAACCGTGAACGAAAGCGTTGCTCGGAAAGACGTAATTAAATTTCTCTAATTATGTTGCCGTATGATTATCGCCGATAATAGACTGCTGCTTTGCAGATTACTTTTGACTGACTTTTCACATATAATTTGCAAAATATGATAAGAGAAGAGGCTTCTAAGATTTTAAACTGATACTTTTTGAGGCTTTTATCTTAATTATTTTCAATAATAATTGACATGTATTGTGTATAAATACAAGAGAAATGTAAAACATTAAGTATTCGTATTTATCTTATATAATTACATATAACATAATTTACACTACATATAGAATCTTAGAAATAAATAATGCTCGCATTTATAGATAAAAGTGAAAGGTGAATACGGACTATAATAATTGAAATAATAAAAAGCGATTGTGATATGTAAAAATTAAACAATGATCTCATTTTAAAGCTCATAGAGACAGGTCTTAAATTCTCAAATTTAATTAAATGATCATTTAATTGAATGTTATAATGTTATAATTGTCGAGAATTCGTAATTGAAGAATAGTTTACAAAAATAAAATTTTGCTCATTGGAAAATGCTCTTGCTCTTTCTCTCACAATTTCTATCGCGTTGTAATATTACAGATCCATGAAAACATGAGTTTCATAATTGGTGGAAACCTATTTGATTTCGAAATGATTTTCTGCAACTACTTAGATTCTTCCGGACTTCGTTTCTCGAGATTGTGCTTAAATTTCGAGAGCGAGATGTTTACATCGGCGAAGTTTTACTGCACTTTTCATTCTCTTGAGAGATACGGGACAGTATTAAAAAGTATAAATGTTTTCGCGCGATACGATGTAACACGACGAGCAGTTTGGGAGGAACTTTTGCTTGTGGCTAATATACGTATTCGATCGCGGCCCGAAGAAGAATACGATCGGCAGGGCAGCTGGAGAGGGTTTGAAAACCACTGGTCCGGGCTGATTATCGCGGTAACCACCCCCCGAGCGCCAATTAATCTTAACTTTTACGGGGCAAACACTTTTCATTAAGCCCGCCTCTCCCGCCGGCGTCGGCGTTTCGTCGTCCTGTCGTCCTTTCGCCCTCCCTCGCTTCTCGCAGCCTCAGCTGCCCCCGCAAGTCCCCCCATTTTTCCTGCCCCTCCCCCTCCCTCATCGTCTCGCTACGCCGCTCATCCTCCTTCGGCTACGGTGAGGAACGGCAAGGAAAATGGCTCCCCAGACAAGCGTTTAATCTGGCTCTAATTAGCAACTTACCCTCCACCATTGCTCTCGCTTTCTCCCTCTTTCCACCTCTCCTCTTCCTGCATCGGGGTAGGTGCACTTCTCGCGCATTCTCTGTGACCAATCCCGTTCTCTTTCTGCTTCTGCCGAGAGCAGGAGCGGATAAATACAGTTTGGAACCTAAAATGAAAGAATTAAAATATTCCTCTTTTTTTTTTCCGCCGGTTCATCTCAAGGATATCAACTTCTCTTCTACTCGATTTTTTTATTTTTAATTGATGGAATGTTTGTACTTTAGTTATTTAATTTATGAAATACAAAATTAAATATTGAAAAATACGCATTCAAAGAGATTAAAAACTGTAATGATAATTTGTGAAATGAGATTAATTAAATTGCAAATTGACTTTGAATTATAAAATTATATCGAAATCTTTTTCAATTATATTTCTTTAAAAATATCTTAGTACATGTATATAATATTTCTTTATATTATCAGAGGTGCATGTTGAAACTTTCGAGTTATCCTGCGTTGGGAATTTATGGGCAAATGGATAGGTGGTATCCATCTTTGTAGATAGTCGATAACAAAAGGTAATTTATCGACGTTGAAGCGAAGAACACGTTTTCTACATGCATGTATCTATAATCACGAGAAATTGAAGGAAACTGTTATATTTGTTGTAAACATTGATTTCTTCTACAAATCTTTGAAATAAAAGTATTAAAATAAATCGAAAAGTTTATCATAAATTAATAATGTGATAGCAAATGCATGAATTATATTTGTCACAATAAAAGAAGAGTTTATTTGTTAAATTTGTCGAAAAATCAATACAAAGGTATCAATACTAAGGAATTTAATGCAAACAAGATTTTTTACATATCTTTTTTTCTATGTTTTACTATTGTTTTTAACTTTTTCATATATTTTACTTAAAAAGAAATTTTAAAACAGGATATCAATTATAGACGCACTGCTTGAAAAAAATCTGTTGTACCAAATTAAAAAAAAAAAACCAAATGATATACATTATTATTTGTGTAAAAGATTTGATCAATAACTGGCGCCAAGTTTCTATTGTATTAATCTATTACCTAGCTCAACCTAAATGATATGTACACTGAAAAAAAATCTTAATTTTAAAGAAATATTTCTTTGCCCGTATACAAAAAAATTATTTCTTTGGATCAATGTAATTTTTATTGAAAATAAAATATTATATAATAAGAAATTTTCATTGATTCAAAGAAATAATTTTTTTTTAATACGAACAAAGAAATATTTCTTTGAAATTAAGATTTTTTTTTTAGTGTATTTTCAAGTTTTCATTAGAAAATAAATCAAACAATTCTGTTTTAATTCAAATGAAAGTATCTATTTTTATCCCCCCATTTAAAAAATATAAATATATTAGGTGTTGGAATTAATTCGTAGCGTTTTTTAATGAAAGAATGTTATTTATTTCACATGAGCATTAAAAAATATATTAATGAAAGTACTTCCCATCACTTGTAAAACGCTACGAATTAATTCCAACACCTAATAAATATAAATATAAATATAAAATTTTAATGCACAAACATATTTTCCTGTTTGGAGCAATTTTAATTTTATTGATTGTACTTTTTTAAATAATTTTTAACCTCATGTTTTCTATAATGTTCAAGTATGATTAGTAAATATTACTTAAGGTAGATAAGAGTATTATTTCCCAAGAAATTTGCTCCTTGCAATCACCTTGCAATCGCCATTTTCTAGCTGATATTCTTAAAAAATCATTTTTTCTACCCTGATTTTTTTTACTTCACATTTAATCACAGGATGCATGCTTGGAGCAGATAATTCAGCTATGCATTCCTGTCGGCAAAAGAAAACGTATATGTTGAAATCCCGGGTGTGATCGATAGATATTATTGAGCTAGATAATCAGATAACACAAGTTAGATGAATTTTCAAATATAAATGGAAGAGACATAGATAAGCGTTTCAAATGGAAATTTTGCAATCTCTTCAGAAGAGATTTGGGCACGAAATACTGCTTATGTTGCAGACGGTGCAAAGCTATCTTGTGAATCCTAATAAGTTTCTATTGACAAATGGTAAGAAAATATTCATGCATATTTTGAAATATCTCGAATGTAAAAAGATGCAAATGAACATCAAAAACGAAAACAATAGATTTTCATAAATCTTATATTTTGATTCAAAATAAATTTTTTAAATACATTCAAAATACTTATTTCTTGAATTTGTAAAACTTTATGTAATATGAATTAATATTATAAAAAAAATTATGTTAATTATCGTATTAATAAGACGAATATTTCTAAATTTGGAAACATCTTTTCGTTTTAATATATATGTATGTATGACAATAAATTATTTAATACGAGTAACAACAAAGCTTATAAGCTTAAATGATGTTTATATATTAAATATCTTCACTTATTACTACTAATTAGCATCTCAAGAACTTTACGTGCTAATTAATCATTGGAATACATCAACTGTAATTTTTGATTACTTTTTTATTCCTAGTTTCGGATATACTTAATGATCTTCATATAACAACGCTTTAAAAATCATTATGTTTTTTTGGCACTTTCGAAAGAGTGCCTAATTCTTCATAATCGAGCACGATTGTGAAAGTCTTTGAAAGCATGATAAGAGCTTTGGTAACTTCACGTCTTTATATCTTCTTTCTTCTTTTTGTGCTCTTTCTTCCTTTTTTCGGATAAAACAATTCGTCCTTCGAAGGACTGAGGCTCCTCCGTTTTAGCTCATAACTTTATCGATCCAGGGCACGAATTTCTGGATATTGGTGTACACACCGGGTAGGTGTTCGCGACCGCAACCGATGCCCCAGGAAACCAAACCGATCAGAACGTGTCTGCCTTCCACCGACATTGTGAGCGGTCCGCCAGAATCACCCTATTACAAGTCAAATTGTAAACAGTGTCCTAGTTGCACATGTGTTTAGTTAATAGTGAATTAATATCGAATATTTCTTGGAGTATTCTATTTTGATTGATTACCTGACAAGAATCTCGTCCGCCTTGTCTATATCCCGCACAGAGAAATACGTCATGTATGGTTTCTCTTCTTCCGGCTGCTCTGAACCACTTTTGACATTTATCGTTCGGTATTACCTAAATGAAAATATGTAACATACATACATATATATTGGGTCATTTAAAAAGTATCCGCGGTTTTTCATTTATTACGAATATTATATACATAGCAATAATTAATTAATACGAATTTATCTGTGGCAAATAAATTCTTTTTATACGACTTAATAATATTAGAATTAATTAACATAAAAGAAACAAATTAATATAAAACCGTAAAAACAGTTTACAGAATTGTATTGTATGGTACATTGCATATTATTTTTATTACGCATATTTTGGCTGAAAAGACGAGTACAAGTTATCATCAAAGATGAGTACGTTGGTCGATAATGCACCTACCTCAACGTCGACTTCTTGAAGAACGGTTGGTGCCGAAGTTTGACCATGTCTGGTTCGTCCCCAACCAGCGACAGTTGCGGTTCGGCCGGAGAGCTTCAAATTCCTCGCCGGCAGGCAAACCGGGACGATGTGCTGCTTGAAAGCTACCATCCGGGACAGCTTCACCAAAGCCACATCATTTCGAAAGTCGGTAGGAGAATATTGCGGATGTATCTGTTGTTATTTTGTTATTTTAGCATAATTATTATTAAGTTATCATGCTTTATTGGTTAAAGATATGCGTTGATAAAATAAGTGAGTGTGTATTTTGAAATTTATTTTTTAATATTACATATGTTGCAATGCAACGTGGAATTCTTGGACATATACTGTTGAATCAATAAAACTTAAAAGTATTAATATTTAAAGGAAAAACCTCTTTTCTCTCGATATTAAATTCTTCATGGACAAGTCGTTCCGACTGGTCTCGAACGTCCCATTCCCCGAGTCGAACTTTCAAATTGCTATTTGGTGTTCTGACATAAAAGATATACATATATCAATATTTCTATTGTACTAAACTGTCGACAATAATAGCCAATACTAACGTCGCGACGCAGTGTGCCGCTGTGACCACCCATCGATTGTTCAGCAAGGCGCCGCCGCAAGACAACTTCTTATTTTGTAAGAATCCTGACTTAAGAATAGCGGCCTGCAACAAAGAGAATATTTAGAGGTCTATTTACAGCCGCGTTACATGAAATATGTATCCGAATCCGTGTCACGGCTCGCGACCTTTAGAGAAGATTTAATAGATTTTCCTCCCTCTCTGCGTTAGGCGAACCGAGCAAATTGATGGCTCGTTCCCGATGAATAATGCAGAAAGGAAGAGTGTGTCACTTCACGAGAGATATATTTATAACTAAGGGGAGGAGAGGAGAAAATTGTAAGGATCTTACCTGCCACGGATGGCTACCGAAACTAGACGAGTGTCCACCTACGATCCTATTACTCCTCGTATAGAGCTCGCCACAGCCTGAAAGTATCATCTATGTTAGCTATTGCACGACCTTACGCGTTCAAGTGAAAATTTTCAATGTGTTGGTGATAACACGTGATGATACAAAAGTGATTTGGGGATCAATGATCGAAGAGATAATGTTTGTGCGTGTGGAGGAGAAAATAAGACTATGCGATGCAGAAGATAAGCTCACACTAAAAAAAAAAAATTTATTAACTGATACTTTCTACAATTATCTGCAATTAAACTGGTACCTAGATGTTTACTCTAAGATTCTTCGCGCTTTGGTGAAAGACTGAAAGCAGAAAATAGACATGGCACACAGTGTAGAAAGTTCGCGCGACTTTAGGAACTCTGTTTATTACGGCAGATTATAGAGATACATTATCTACAATTAATCGTTGCGAAACTTTCTTAGTGATTTTGCTTAAGATAGGAGAAGATATGAATATGAGATGTTCATTACATAATTATACACGTGAAATTAGTCATTTTACATTAGATTTTTAATTTCACATTTTGTATTTAACGTGCAATCTAATAACATAATATATATATATATATATATATATATAAAAAATATATACATATAATGCATAATATATACGATTAAAAATTGTATATTTTTGTTGTAAAGTTAAGACCAGTTTTGATATTCTAAAATATTCTGTCTCATATTCCTATCTTCATATTTCAATGCTTAAAAGGAAAGAGGACGATTAAAATATAATTTTCTTCTTTGTTCCATATTGCTTCATACAGTTATCCAGTTCTCCTTTTGTCCTCCTTGTTTTTCATTTTTTCTGTTTTATCTCTCGTTCTCGGCCAACCATTTTTATTTTAGTATTCTCTCATTTTTTTCCTCCAAATTCAATTTCTCGATTGTTTTCAAGCAACACTGTGCAAAAAAATGTGCGATGTGATGAAAGCATGTTTGTGCGGTTTCCATGCGAAACATTGTATGCATGTTTAAATACTGTCTCCGTCATTTGGGATCCACTATAGATAAATTTTATTATTATTAACTGATATATTTAATAATAAATATTTTGTATCGTCTCGATGTCATTCATCTTGTGAAATTCGTCCAGTTTGTCTCGTATATTTCATACTGACTTCCGTCGAAACTGTAATTCTTTATATTTTTTAAAATCAACGCTTTCATTCTCGACATCAATAAATTAAATCTGATATTTGATACGAAGTCTAATAATTATCTGTTGATATTTGTTGATATAAATCACATAAACTTATAATCCAAATGATTAGAATAAATCGATCGCAACATCGAACGAGCATATTCAAATCAATAATTAAGTGCACCTAAGAGATTCGCCAGGTCTCAATTTATTGCGAACAAAATTGATAGCAATAAACATAAAAAAGCAGAGGGTCGACGGTTGAAGCGATATAAATTTTAACTGTAAGGAATACAATTTCGAGGTGAGCTCAATTTCCCATATTACAGAGACACGACGGGATTCTTGCGTGTCTGTAATCTTCGGAATCTGAACTCACCGAAGTTTTCAGTGAGTCCTCCGACTCGTGCGCTTGACACATATCGTGCGACACTCGGTGCAATAATCTGTGTGCATTCTCATGCGATTACCACGGTATCTGGAGTAGTCCATGGCATTGGACGAGTCCTCGATTGGGTCACTGGAAGCGGCGGGCGGATAGCCGCTGTTGTACTCGTCCTGTGGATAATCTTGAACTGTGTGATACGGACGAGTGGTGAACGTCGGTCGGTCTTGGCCGACTGCGAGATCGTTCGGCCGATTATGGTTCCAGATCGCGTAAGATGAATCGTAATGGCTGGTCGGATTACTGACACCATCCATATACGTGGGCCGATGGGTATCTTGGCTGTGCGAGGGCCTGTTGGGCCTAATCGCGCTGCCGTAAATGTGCACGTCGTCATCCACGTATGACTGTTGGTGCCCGAGATTTAGGGTAAACGCTGGGCAATGTAACGATGTCGCTATTAGCTACTCGGAATCATTCGCGTTGTGGCTCTGCGGCCAAATTTAAGGATGTATATGTATAATATATCATATTTCAAAACATCACCAAAAATATAAACAATTCATATTATTTTATTATACGTCTATAGTACTTATTTTCAAATTTGATAAAGTCGTAGAATTACTAATTAATCAAATTTTTTATGTATATATTAATCAAACTATGTACATTAATAAATGTTTGTGCAAAAATTTATTTGGATTTACTTACGTTCAAAAATTATTCACTTAAAACTGCAAAATGTAGTCATTTCGCTCCATAGAGCCATTGTAGGCCAAATTATTTATTGTTTTATTTTTTTGCAGTATGATTTCAGGACGTATTCATAGCAATTTTGGAGCTAATTTAACTGATATTGACTTTTTATCTGATTCTTTGGTTGATACTTTTAGTCGAAATTGTACAATCTTAAGTCCAATAATATTGTGATTATTATAATTATGCTTTATGTATCAACTGATATTTTGATCACTGCAGTTAAAAAATTAAAGACTGTCAATTTAGAATAAATTTATTCGAGAAATAAATACCTATAGAAAATTATTATGTACTAATAATGTTATAATAATAATAATATTTTTCTTCACTTTCATTATTTTCTCTAATTGTTCATTGCAACCAGGAAACACAATCAGGATATTCATTATGTAAGTTTGTCTCTAGGACGGAAATGTGAAAAGTGAAAATTTTTATCATTGAAATTAATGGAGAAATTTTTCACTTTTTATGTTTCCGCCTTAAGGAAAAAGTTACGTGATCGGTACTTAGACAAAACCATGTACTGTAAAATATATAATGAGATAAAGAATATACGTATAATATATAATATAAATATATTAGGTGTAGTAAAAAGAAATCCATTATTTTTCCAATAGATGGCTTTTAGTAATCTGCATCTCGTCTACGCGTGATTAATATAATGAGAAAGAGAGAAAGAGAGAAATGTAAAAGAATGAAAGCAAATGTAAAAGAATAAAAATGTCATAAGAAAATATAATTTGTAATTGTCTTGTTCTGTCGGTGACATCGTTTCCTCGCCTGCTTCTATTTGTGCCATTGTATTGATAGTTACGCGGTTACGGTGAGCGACTTGCTGAAAGCACGCTCGCGTAAAGTTCTCCGGGCGTACAACGCGATGCCGTCGCGTAAACTAGGTGTGAATAACTGTATTTGAAAGTGCTGGCCGTACTGTCGCATCGTTGGTACGCGAGCGACATACTAGCTGGACGCTGTTGGTTGTGTAATTTCGGATGTCGGATAGAAATCAGGTTACTTCCAGCCGGTGTCTCCTTTCAGTTCACGATAATCAAGCGTTCTCAACCTTCTCGCGATCTAATCTCATCTTAATCCCTAACGTTAATCTAAAAAAGTAACGTTACATCTCCTACTCTTTTAATTATCATTTGAGTTCTCTTTGCGCTTCCTCACCTCCTAAATATGATCCGAATCTCTCTTATACTGCATGCAGAGAGTATACATCGAATATGTTATTTTATCGTAATCGTCGCGAGATTTGACTATTTGACCATAAAATTTAAAAGCGTTTACGGAAATTCCTCTCGAGCAAATGATGCTAACAGCGCGATACAATCTCGGAAGTCTCGGTTCAGAAACTTAGTTTAGTGACATTGGAGAACACGAACCTTCTTTCAGGATGTCGCAAATTTACAACGGCATGACGGTAGATAAAAGGACTTCACGAGTTAATTGAGAGACACATCGTTGAATTAAAAACTCTTTCTTCCTTGAGAAAAACATACGACATTTTCATTGTCTCCTCCTTAAATAGTAGATTAACCCTATTGGTTTGCTTAAATATACTATGCGATCATATCGTTTAGATTAATATAATTAAAGTGCTTTAAAAAATAAAACGTTTTTACAGAAGTAAGATCTTGTACATTAACTTACAAAGTCATTAGAGAAAAACGTTTTTTAAATAAAATATTAATAAATTATATTAATTAAACTTGACATGTGGATCTGTGAAGTTAGCATAATATTCTAAATTAATATAAAAGAAAATGACAGTAATCCACTCTTCATAGTTCTACATAAAAATAAAGAGTTCCATGTTTTTTATACTAAAAAATTAGCACACCGTATTTTCAATTTTGATTTTTTTAATGCAAAACTTTTTTATTTTTATAAAGAAAAAAGTGCTACTGGCATTATATTTTATATATTAAGACTACATGCACACGTATGCCTTTTTAATATACATATTTGGGATATATATAGTTTTATTCTAGTGCGAGAAAACTTACTGGCATTCTGTAACAGACCCACAGTCGGTCGCGGTACTTTTTCGGGTACGTCTTCGTCGTCCACGCAGCAGGTCCATATTAAACCTCCGGAACATAAATCGAGTGGTCGACCACCACTAAAAACGCAGCTAATGCTGAGGCCGCACTCAAACCTCGCACCTTTGTATTTGCACGTTTGCGGTATCACTGAAATAAATTCCACATATCAATTAATATCTACGTATATAGTAGTATTACGTTTACCGATTATTTTAATAGTAATATTAAATTATTAATTTATTATTAATGGGATTATTTTAATATGAATAGATGAGAAATGATTAATAAGCAGGAATTTTGGAGGACTAAAAAATAATTTAATCAAGAATTTGTTTGCAAAAAACATTTTAAAATGAACGTCTGTTGTGATATCGATATATTTGTTTATTTATTATCGTGATTGTAATTTTAATTGCGTAGCGCGTCTTCTTTTGAAGGACCAATATCAGTTGTTATGAAATGTATCCTATCGTTTTAATATGTCCATTTGCATTAATAATTTATTGTGGCTGACGACATATTTTGTCAATAGTAGAAAATCTGTGATATTCCAATATCTCATTTTACAAACTCTTGAAAATATCAGATACAAAATATTATCTGTCTCCCTATATTTTTTTTACTTATTCATTCAATCAAATAATTTATTTGATTCATAATTTACGGTCTTATATCTTACGACAAATTCACTTTCAGGATCGATATATTTTATTTAGTTAACAGTACTTCTAATTTTTTTTTATATCCTATTTTTGTCCCATTTTAAATCCTACATACTTCTACCCAACATCTCCATAAGGCCGTTCTGGAGATTGGAGTTATGTCCACGATGATCATTGGTGTAGTTTCGCTTCTTCCTGAGCGTTTCCACTAGCAAGGCACCTTGCTGCTGGCTGGTCAACTTCCTCTTTCTGCCCTGTCGATGTCCGTCTACCATTTCGTCATGCACTCCATTTAATCTCTTTCGTTTGATTTCATTCAGTACTTCTTGGATATTTATTTCCTGTTCCTCTTCATTTTGCAGGTTCTTTTCGAATACTTCCTGCCCGCTCCAATCCATCTCTTCTGTATTATGATTCAAAAAATGATCTTGAGTATCTTCAGAGAACATAGAATTCTTCGGATGATCCGTGTTCTCCAACATGGCGTCAGTGGTTTCATCACCGCCGTACGGAAAATTCGAAAAGTACTGATACTGTTCGACCTTGGACGGTATGCCTATCACGTTTTTCAGGTTGCTCTCAATGGCTCGATTCTCACGCGTGAGATCTTGTCTCATCCTGGTGGTTTCGGGTTTCCAGAGATCGTGATGCTCATTCGAATCGTCGACCATCGCGAACCTTCTCGGTGAGTTTTGAAGAACATTGTCCTCGCGCCGATTTAACCTTCTCGATGGATATGTATCGGAACGCTGTAGACGAGATTCTTTAATTTTGATCGGTATAATCGATCGGCTTGCAGTTGCAATTTTACAATCCTCCCTGTGTTTCCACGAATAAGTGTCATGGTGATCGAAAGCACTCGCCACGGTGATCAGAAACACTCCAAGCATGATCTTCATGATCGACTTTGACTTCCGCTTGTCACTTCGAGGATACCTTGCGCATCATCGTGATCTCACTGCACACACTTGAAAGTTAAAAGGGGCGCACTACAGTGAGGATAATTCATGAACGATCCATTTCCTTCTCCATTAACTACGATCGATGAAGAACAGTATAGAGATCTCACAAGTGAAGACTAAATCAAGTTTCTCCGAAATTATTCGAAGAGAAACTTGACTTAGTTGGAAGCTGTAAGTCAAGTTTCTCTTATGAGATTCGACTAGTTGAAATTTCACTTGCAAAAACGATTGAGGAATTAATTGACACACCATTAATTTCTTTGAAAAGCTAGCTTCTTGTTCTTTTTTCATGTGAACAATAAACTTTCAATTTTGAACAAAATCTTAGACTGCATTTGATTAGATTTGGTTACTGATTAATCCCGGATTGCAAATCCTTAATCTTGAACGTAGCAAATGTGATTCATGGTCGAATTTCTTTCACAATTTCTCTCACTTCGTCACAGGCTTTCGCGAGGGTCACGGTATTTCGAATAACTTTGGAATCCCAAAGCACTGTGTAAGCATCGCCATTTTGATATCACTGTTTTCTCTTGCAATAGTTTCGATCTATCGTGGCAAATTTTCTACAGAAGGTGACAACAGACGCAGCCTCCTCTTGGAGACCGCTGACGCGTATGTACTATCGAGAAACAATGTCAAAAGGTTGAAGGCGCCTTATGACACTTCACCGGAGTGACGGTGAGAAGCTGTGACAATACACCTTCTGCACGTGGACTGGCTTAAACCGATGTCTCACGAGTCTCGATCTAAGAAGGCGTCCACTGCTTTCACCGGCATCAGCTTTCCCGCAACAGCGTCCCTTGGTCTCACATTGGTTCCCCACCTTCATCAGAATATATCGTGGTGTTGTGTCTTATTTTCCATTTCTTTCTTCGTTAAATTATTATGTCGCCGTGAAATTATCGTACTCTGAATAGCTGGAAAATTTTGTCAAGATTCGGGCCAGTCGTCTCGTGAAGACGGAAAACCAAGATAGTTATTTCTATACTATATTCTTTGCGTGTTGAATCGTTTAAGTTATTTTGTTTTATCACTCTATTGCTATACAGGGTTGGCCATATTCGACGGAAAGATCTGGCTTTTTTCAATCATGGGAAACGTAATTCGGAGATTATGTTTCAAAAGATTATAAATTTTTATTCAAACTTTTCACTGTTATTTTGTTGATTTAATTTCTTCATTAAGATTTTTTTTGATAGTTTCATCACAGTGATGAATGATCATTGGAAAGAATGATAATTAAATATTTTCTGTTTCTCATCAAATCTTAGTAAACACAGATTTATTAAAAATAAAAAGAATTTTATACGTAGCATAAGAGTTCATAAATAAAATATATGAGATCGAATATGGTTCCGAAAAATCGGCGCTATGACTAAGATTTCGTGACCCAATTTTATCGCTTCACTGACAGCGTTTTTGCTAAATAAAATCTAGATTTGAAGTATTCATGGAGTATCTTATTAAATTTACTTAAAAAAGAGTAAATAGTGATTAATATTCAGACTAATATCTTTCATGAATGCGAATTTTTATTTTTAATAAAAATTAAGTAGAATTTAAATTGTGTCTGCTAAATTTCTTATCAAAGATTGAATTAAATCGAATTAAAATTCGGAAACTTTACTCGTGTAATTTCATAATTCAGTTAGGAAGTATTAAGTATCGTTTTTTTTATAAAAGAAAAGATATCATCTCCAAACACTTATAACAATAGAAAAGAGATGCGCTGAGGTCGCAGTGAAAACTGAGCTTCCGTGCGCTTCATTATAAATATTCTTGTAGAAAGTAAGCGTCGGTAAGTGGCCTTTCAAGTACGATTCCGATTTCGTCTTTCTTGTTAGCTCGGCTGTAAATCTTTCGTGCTTTGCTCACATTTATGGAAAATTATTATAATCGCAATATTTTTTTGTTGAGAATAGTTGTGATAGTTGCATTAAATAAATAGTTATATATTGAATAAAATATCATTCTAACAGAATCCTTTTTCTAATTTTTTAAAAATTTGTTTTTAAATATATTCTCGGAACAATAAATATTTAACTAGGGGCTACTGAGAACTACAGCGTGGTAATCAGACAGCGCAAATTACTACAACAAACATATTTTAAAATTAATAATTTATTTGAATATTTTATCTTGACGATGACTCCAAAGTAAAATAACTCGGAAACGTTCGGATAAATTTTAACGAGTTGTGAAAATGAAACGATTCGTTACTTTAATTAACTGTAACTATAATTTTTCAGAATTGGTAATTTGTAACAGTAACTAATTATTTTGTGAAAAAGGATATAGCTGTAATTAGTTACTTTTATAAAGTAACTTTCTCATTCCTGCCTATCCATCAAAGAGATTTACTGAATTCACACTTTATTTTAAATTAATTTGTTTATAATTACTATAATACATGCAATGACATTGAAAACATCAAATTATTTAGAACAGACAAAGATATAGTCTATATTGCTGAGTGTATAAGTATGAGTATCCGGCTAACTGGTTTGTCATCTTAAAATCTTTCCGATATCTATCGTTTCATCGAGATCTTACCATTGCACATAATTACGTTCACATAGCTGAATCATTCTTATCACTATTCAGTTGTTAACTGAAGTTGTTTTAAGGAGATAATAGATATCAAAATGTCAGCATTATTCAGCGTTTTGATTTCGTAGAGATATTATTTGATGACACATGACAATTAAATGTAGATACTTGAATTGTACCATTATATTTAAATCATGTATAAATAAAGACAAAAAGTAGAGGTTCTTTGATTAAATCATGAAAAATTAATTTATTTCAATTATGAGTGAATTTTTTTTTAAAGCAATCTTTTCATTTTAATCTCTGTTTATTTTTAATATATTATAATATAAGCTGAATATAATAGTGATACAACTTACATCCAAGTTCATCGAAAAATCTCATCTGTCCGTGCGAATCGATCGCATTTTCGATATTTTCTTCTTTCTCTGGTTGACCTAAAAAAAAATACGATCGAATTTCTCCTCTAGTAAAGGATCATTTTTAACGATATCGAAAAATGTCATTATCTATTTACCAAACTTTCTCAGAAATCGGTTGTTCCTTCTTTTATTAGCGAGACAGCTTGTATCGGCGATCAGAAGTAGCGAGATAAGCGCTCCGGCTTTGAGAACAGTCATTTCTCTCTTCGGCCGTCAGCGATGATCGTACGATTCACTGTCATTCGCTAAACATGTTCACGACGTCGTCATGAATCTTTCTTAATCTGGCGCCGTATCATTTTGTCACGTTCTTCATGATTTCACTTTGAAATCCGTCTCGTCAGCAGTTCTATTAAAAGTCCAAAAAGATCCCTGGATGTGCTCTTTTTATTTCACACGCTTTTTCAAGTCGCGTACAATTGAATATGGTAAAATTTGTTTGCGAATTGTTAAAGCTCTCACATTTTACACTCGCGGATACTCCATTTAATCGAACGACTGCGAAGAGTTCAAAGGGGACTTGATGATACGAATCTCGCTGGGAAGTGTTAATTGCTGAAATTGTAAAAGACCCTGTCTTTTAAAACATGATCGTATTTCGGAGGTGGATTTTTAAAAAGTATTTTTGCGATAATTTTTCAAGCACATTATGTTACCTCAGTGTCATTATTTATTTCATTAAAAATTTATTTATACTACGACAATATTATATCGAGCTGAAAATTAGTAAATTCGGTCACTTGTGTTACACTAGATTAGTGCATACTAAACTGCTATATATGAAATTAGCAAAGTTAATGTTATATAAATATTTTAAACGATTAAATATCTAATAATGACATATTATTATTTCATTGTCAAAGTTGATTATATTTAGATATTTTATGATATATATTATATTTTATTATATTTTAGATATTTTAATATGTATTAATTCAGTGTAATACGAGTGAAGGGATTAACATGGAATATGATGTCGTTCAGAATTTCGTAATTCTATCATCTTTTGCAAAATCTTTCTTTTACATTACTTATTAAATTTCAAGATTTTAAACTCGAAAGTTAATAATATACGAGTCAATAATATTTCGCTTTCGCTTTTTATGATTTCTGTAATTATGCATGGCCCCGTGGGAACAAGTTGCATGCTGATTAAACTAATAATTAAAGTAATTATAATGCAAATCATGCGAGCATATTTTGATGTTATGTGCCACGTCACGTCAAAGGGTTGATCGCATAGACGTTCCGGTTTTCCCGTCGATCTCGGAGCCTTTGTCCACATTCTTGATCAGTTCCTTCACCGGCACATCGTGAACGAATTCACGTTAGCGTGTCCAAAGACGTTCATGTACAGTCCGGTACAAAAGTGGGACACGAAACCAGGCCACCGAGACAAGTGGCACGCCTTTTAGCTTTGTAACGTTCGGCCGGTTTACATGTGAGACCGTGTCCGCGTGGCGATGTACTCTCCTCCTCCTCCTTTCCCCTCTCTTTTGGTTATTAGTGAAAGTTAGTCGGTAACTTTCGACTTTGACAACGACAACGATTCATCATGGGGAATGCAGAGTGAAGAATGGGTTCTTGGAGCACTAGGGCTCAATTCCACAGCTCATGATTAATTCTTTAAGAATTGGAAAGGAATGAGGAATAAGTTGAAGTTCGATTAAGAATTATAATCATGAACTGTAGAACTGGGCTTATATCGTATTTAAGAACATTATTTTGAAGAGGTATCTTCCAATTTTCCATTAATATTAAACACTTTACACGAAAGATAAAAATTTATAAATAAAGTTAATATGATAGATATGTATTTTTTTCTAAAAATTAGTCCACTTAGCTTTCTATCTTGTAAGTATTAAGCCTCGTGATTATAAAAATGATTGAATTTATTCAGAAAAATCTACTTTTCCGTAGATATATTGCGGAACTAAATTATGCTCGTGCAGCAGTTCTATTTGAAATAGAAGTTTTACTCTAAAACGAATTTCGACTGTTTTGTTTAGATATGCGGCGAATTAAAAAAAGAGTGAAATATCACTTTCAACTATCGTGCTGTAAGTTACGAGTTAAAACCCGTACACGAGCACGCTATTGTTTTTGATTGCTCGACTTTCTTTGCGCTTCTTCTGTATTAAGTAAAAAATAAACAAGTGGGCTCATGTATATGTCTGACATACATTCAGTGTAATTTAAATGTATCCTGTTAATTGATATGCTTCCACAATTAGTCTGCTGTTG